GTGTGAGTGAACTATTGCATACTTACATTCTCATTTCATTAATTTCTTCACACATGTAAAAGACCACCATCATAAGGGTGAAAATCTCACAAAACCCACGGAGTGAATCTGCTTCACCCCCATACTGGGTGGGGTCCACTGTTGTGGAAGCATGCAGCAGAGAATGTGACAAACACAGCAAGAAGGTCACATAAAATGCTGCTTGAAGACTGTGGAAAAAACGTGGAAAGAAGGTGTAGGGAGTAAAATTCAAATTGTATTTGTAAATTTTTATGTCATACACCACTTTCATAAATGGCTGCCGGATTGATATTGGTTTGTTTAAATTAAAATTAGCCTCACTAGCCTCGCTTGAGATAATGTATTCTTTTGAATTTTGAACTGGAGCACGAGGCCAGAAAGGCTACCTTAAATTTAAACAAAAGAATATCAATCCAGCAGCCATTTATGAAAGTGGTCAATTACTTGATTTTTACTCAATTATTTTTCATAGAGGATAGTACTACGTATCCTGATACCTAGCTTTATCAAAAAACTATCATTTTCTCCTTGGTAGAGATAAGAGATGGGAACATCATTGATTTCCCATTTCTCTAAAAGTCCACAGTGGAGACAACTTCTTCGAGGATAAGATACTAAGATTCTTCTGGTAACTAATGGTTCATTGTTGTGATAACTTGTCTGATTTACCAGGTGCATCTCAGTCACTTCCCTTCCCCCCCCCTCCCTTTATTTAACTCAATGCCTAATGCCACTGAGTGTTCACCCCTGTGATTTCCTATGCATAAACATGCACAAAGTGTACCTCAGAAAAAAGTGTCCATAACTTTTCCATTTTGTTTTCACCAACATTCTAACCACAGGATGTTGTAAGGCCTCCTATAAATGAAAACCAAGTGTGTTTTGTTTTAGAAAAAAAAAAGGTGAATGTGATACAAGTACACCTCAAAGATAACTTTTGATATGATATTTTAGTTTTGGTTCATCCCATGCTCACATTTTTCATGAGAAGTAGTTTCAATACACTACTGATCAAAATGAAAATTTAATATTGCTGTTAACTCTTTCCCATTTCCCATAACCTAAAGCTAAGAAAAGGTAAGCCAGTAGATTTGCAGGCTTGTAACCTTACCTTGTTTTTGCTCTTTGCAATCACATGTAAACAAGACCTGTCTCTCCAGGTAAAATGGTTGTTGTCTGTCTGCTTTTCTTTGCCAGGGGTTGTATTGAGCTCGGGAGGGCGTCCTCCCTCGTCGCCATCCAAGATATGATAATAAAAGTGATAATCTATGGGATCATCTGTGATTGTCCTCCAAGCTCCTTCAATTCCTTCTTTCTCATGTTCATTTTTGTAACTGTCTTTGCGTTTTGGAAGATGCGGCCTGTGAGGATTTACCATTTGGTCTAGCAGAGCCAAAGTTGTTTTCTGGACAAAACGATATAGATGTATAACAGACGAAATATAACAATAAAATTTATACATTAGGATGTAGAGGGATTCAACTTGGTGTCCGTGAAACAGTGCTCAATACAAATAGTAGAGCGGGTATAATGTGCGGTAGGTGGAAAAAAGACAACTACATATACATCCCTACACAGACCTGTTTCGTGGTTGCCCACTCATCAGTGGGCAAACACGAAACAGGTCTGTAGGGATGTATATGTAGTTGTTTTTTTCTGCCTACCACACATTACATTAGGATGTATATAGAACAATGAATTCCACCAAAGTGATTCTGACTATTAGCCCCCTCTCTATATTGGACTTCTCTCAATAAATCTCCAATAAGAGCTGCTCCTTAATAAGTCTTTCTCCCCCTTCTTTATCTCCTGTCTAGCTGAAAGCCTCAGAAATTTGTTGTAGTCTCAAAAGGACAAATTCTTATCATGCAACTAGGTCTCCCACATAATTATTTAGCAACCCGCCCTGTACAAAATGCCTACATACCTGTCCATGCAGGTTCATTAGGCCGGTACTAGGTAATTTTGGAAATTACTTATTTGTATATAGCGGTAAAATTTATAGACTTATCTTAAGTACTACCACAGATATAACACTACCTTATAGACAGAGTGCTTAAGTTAAACTTTCCTATTAGAATGATATTACATGTTAAAACAAAAATTAAAAATTTCCCACCTTCATTTTAGGATTTTCAAAGACAAACTTAAAACTGAAGAAAGATGGTTGAGGTTCTATCATATCATCTGGTCTCCAAGAAAATAAGCTTTTGGACTCTGGGATTGAAATGCAAAGAGATTGTCTAGCACATTGTAACCATTTTCTGCATTATAATCTGAGGTTTCCCACAAAAATGTTTGGTTAGGTTTCAAACAACAATGACTGCATGTAATTGTTGAAGATTCATTGAATTTAGACGTGACATACACTAGTACACACACACACACACATTATTTTGCTCAATATACATCCATCTTAGATTGAACAATCATTGAACTTTATGAGACTAGTACAATTGCAAATTCAGGTCCTTGTGACATTATTCCAAATCATATTGCCCTATTCAAAGTGACACGTCTGGCTGGTACCATTTTCTCTGTATACCTTTCATACCACATCATTCGTATCAAATATGCTACCACCTCATCTTTCTCTGCCAATAAAGCCATTTCAACAGGAAACATGGGTTTTGTTGTCCAAGGTTGTTTTGTCTCCATAGAGAGCAATAATGGACACTTCTTCACAAGTGTTTTGGCAACTTTTAAAAATCCAAGTTCTGCAGCATAGCATAATAATGTCCTCTTAGTCTTGTTCACATCTCTGAATGTCTCATATCTGTTGCCCAAGTTCAGTTCACCCCTTAACAAAATTTCCAGCAACAGACTTATCTGCAATAAGACATCATACCTGTTTTCAAATCTTGCTTTGAAATCAGTAAGATATCACTTTGTTCATTCCATTCTATCAGTCCATTACATTTATCATAGCCTCATGTATTATAAAACCATTATAGTCAATTAATATCTTTATGGTATCTATTAATTAAATATTATGATTGCATTCAATAAGATAAGTTGGGAGTAGGACTTGCCTTCCCCCTCATGAAGTTAGTATAAATCAAAAGGTTTGGCAGAAATTGATTATCATCAAATAACTAACCTGAAGTAGACACACAACATACATAATGTTAACTATAAATAAGCACATGCCAAATTTATAGCATGACAATCTATTTAACTGATTTCTGACAGCATTGCAAAAGTATCGTAGAGACTCTGGATATATAATAACTACCAAACTTCATGATAAATTTATTTATACTGAGGAAACAGTAGTGGGGAAACAAACAAGGCAGTAAACCTCCATTTTTATCAAAATTAACATACCAGCTGTTCCAAGCCTGGAAGCTTCTCAGGACTATCTTTGTATTGTTTTGATGCTGGCCAAATTTTCAACATCAATAGAGCTGGATCCTCACGGTCAAGTCCTCCATTAGCCTTGTATTTCTGAATCAGTCTTTCAAGAAGGACTTCATCCATAGCTCTGTTCCACAACACTCCATTACTCTGCTTCTGAGTAACCTGTGGAAGTGATGCTAAGTTGCTTCACAGCCTTTATTTGACCATGCAAAGTTCGAAAGTTTGTGCATGCTCAGATGTTCATCTTGCAAATATTTAATGTATGTTTTGGGAGCAAAAAGGAAAAAAATCGATTTCAAGCTGTAACACAAAACAAAAGTTTAAAGAAGGAAAGAAACTGCCTTGGTGGCCCCTATTCTTTTTTACTTTAAAATGATCGGCGGGAAAAACTACACTTATCTTGAAATTTATGGAAGCTTCAACCAGAGCAAAATTGGGGTAAATTAAAATCAAAGCCAAATTACTGCTACAGAGCGCCTTCCTTTGTATTGCAGCGTTTCAGCTCAAGAAATAAACTTTTATGTTAATTATTAACAACAGAAAACAACAGTCTGACCTTTTTTTAATCACATTTTGGTCACTTTTAGTGATCTTGAAGACAAACCACATCAAAAATTAACCACGAAAACATAACACCGGCGCTTGCTTTAAAAATAAGGGAGAAACTCTATCACTAGAGCCTTATTTTTTAACTTGTTTCTAAGGTTCAGTTCTTCCCAAACATTTTCGCTGCAACAGGGAATAAACGTCTATATAATTCTTCATCCCTACTTTTTCTAATGGTATTGTAATATAAATGTAAACTTCTACAATTCTCGTAAATTTTTAACAATAGCTAAACATGCTGTAATGCCGCAAAATACTATCCAATGTTTGTCACGAGGATAATTAAACTGACGCGTTACAGCTGAGAAAATATTTTTCTAGAGTTTGCCCCTGAGAGACTTGGGCTTGTAGGTTAAGCCTAATAGTATTTTTCAAGAATTAGATTTAATCAGTAATCATTTCCCAATTCATCTAAATTACCTTGTTCCAGAACTCTCTGTCATATTGACTGGACAAGAAATCTTCGTGGTGACAGTCTGTTGTTGTCTGGGAGTCTTCCTTGTTACTGATATCTTTAACAACGAAATCCTCCTCAACTCTCCTCATAATTTTCATAATAATTTCATTATCATTCACAGCCAGCTTTGACCAAGTTGTAAGTATTTTTGACGGGCAAAACCTTACGAAAATGGCGAAACCACCGGTACCACATTGGGTCGCCCGGGGTTATTTTGGCTCGTTGTCAGCGGTATGGTCACCAAATGTCATTGTTTTGGTGACCACTTTGGTGACCATGATTGGCAAACTGGCGAAACCTCGGCCGGAACGTCATAGTAACCGCTCCTCAAGCTCTTACACGAAGGGACCTGGTGATGGCACATGTAGCTCTATCGGGTGATTAATGATTGTTCTACTATTTTTTTTCTCCACTGTTTAGAATGATCAAACTAAGAATGTCCATAACCTAAGGGATGTTTCACTTACTCCAGGAACCAGACAGTTTAAAGGTAATAAGAGGAGTTCAAAATCTGTTCCACAGATGAAGTGTTAGTGGTAATGGAAATTAAAGGTTGAAGCTTGGTACAACCTCGATCACCGCGCCATCGTGCATCAACTATTTTTCATGACCCTCAACAGGTTGACAGATCGGCAAACAGCCTTCAAACCCAATTTGA